GTTTCAGTCAAAATGTCCAATAAAAATAAATAAAATGACTTCAGACTGCAGTACGCCAGCTCCATCTTTAATGTCCACACACCACGATGTTGTCCTTAATTTTTAATTTAAAATAATCCCACATCTTCTGTCTCTTCCTCTTGTTACTTTCGCTTTGCTGCGTTTGCTCATTTTCGCTGTTTTCACTGTTTTCGGTCCCGGTGAAGCCTGACACCGCTTCATTCAACCACACTGTAGTAACGCCACTTTACATTCTCAGTAACGGTAAAGTAATTAATTACTCCGTTACTGAAAAAATAACGCCGTGTATAAGGCTGAAAGAGCACAGCTTACTTCAACACTAGTCAGGAAGCACAGGGTTTGTCACACTAAAGAAGAGATCCGTGCGAAACGTGACTTTAACATTTAAATTAAACAAGCGTTCTGAGGCAGAGGAAATTCCTCGATTATTTTTTGTAATCGAGTTACTCGAGGAATCGTTGCAGCCCTACAGAGATGTATAGAAATAAGAGATTATCTAAGAAAATCCAACCAACATCCAAACCAGCAATAAAGAATGCTTCACTGAACCTGGGTGTTCGGACAGAGACACATATGTGCTCTGTGTGATTTACATGTTGTATCTGTTTTCTTACTTCAGGGATGGGTGTGTAGCTTTGAGAAGCCACAGACGTCCCCAAACTCGTTGACCCCCAGCACCACTGTTCTCAGTCCGTATGTCACCTTTGGCTGCCTGTCTGCACGCACCTTCTGGTGGAGGCTGACAGACGTCTATCAGGGGGTGAGTGTCCCCATCACGGTGCAGGTTTTATAGGTAGTATTCTACGCAATGAACAAGGCTGCATAACGGATGGTCTATAATGGTATTTTAACTTCAATTTCCTACATTTTTAATGAAATTCAACAGTAAGAAGAAAAAAAAACTAACTTTCAAATGTATGTATGACCTTTGTAGAAGAAGCACTCAGACCCTCCAGTTTCCTTGCATGGTCAGCTGCTGTGGAGAGAGTTCTACTACACAGCTAGTGTGGGAATCCCTAACTTTAACAAGATGGAGGGCAACTCTGTATGTACCCAGGTGGATTGGGACACGAACCCCGAATATCTGGCTGCATGGACAGAGGTACTTTAAAGTTATTTGAAATAGAGGTGAATGAAAAAAAGATGAGTTTTGGTTTTGGAAGAAGAGTTATCATGATAATTCAGTAGGATCACTGTTAATTAGAGATCATCTAATTTCCTGTATCATAAATATTTCCCATCATCCACCATTTGCATTTCCCTGAAGGCTCGCACTGGTTTCCCATTCATTGATGCCATCATGACTCAGCTGAGGCAGGAGGGCTGGATCCACCATCTGGCCAGACATGCTGTTGCTTGTTTTCTCACCAGGGGAGATCTGTGGATCAGCTGGGAAGAAGGGCAGAAGGTTTGTAAACAAGCTTTCCTTTATTGCTACTTTAGATTAAGTTAGGCAGTATGTCATCTTTATCAAAGAACAAGCACAAAACCATCCAGGCCCATGGTACATGTCTACAGTGTGTGGTAAACAACTGCAAAATGACACCCCACTAAGTCTTGATGAAATGGCTTTGCAAAAGGATTTTTGTAATCTGAACAATAATTTAAACTAACTAGACTAACCTTTAATAAGTGCATATAGATTTGCTACATATCTGTTTGGCACTGCAATATACTACAAACTACTGTTAGAAATATTAAGAGTTGAAATCATCAAAGCAAGTTGGCTAGAATCAGATTATAGTCCAAAAAACTGTCCATTGTGAGTCTGACAGCGTCATTCAGTGTAATGCTAAATCGGTGGAATAGAGCTCTAACATTTTGTTCACTGCTCCTGAAGGTGTTTGAGGAGCTTTTATTGGATGGCGACTGGGCTCTGAATGCTGGGAATTGGATGTGGCTCTCAGCAAGTGCCTTCTTCCACCAGTTTTTCAGGGTCTACTCCCCTGTCGCATTTGGCAAGAAGACAGACAAAAATGGAGACTACATCAAGTAAGATCACAACCCTAAAAAGCTCAAGGTATGATACGAGTATTATTATGAAATAATTTTGCCTCTACTCTACTTTAAAGAAAGTACCTTCCTCTTCTGAAGAAGTTCCCAGCTGCATATATCTATGAGCCTTGGAAAGCTCCACGCAGTGTCCAGCAGGCAGCAGGATGCATTGTGGGTAAAGACTACCCACATCCTATTGTGCAGCATGAAGTGATCAGCAAAAAGAATATCCAGAGGATGAAGTTAGCTTATGCCAAGAGATCCACAGACCCTGCAGAATCACCCAGCAAAAAGCAAGGTATTGTAAGAAACACGGGCTTTTATAGGAGGTTTATCTCATTGGCTGTTAGTCATGTTTAGATTAAATAATACTTCTTCAGTATTTTTTTTTTATGTTTTCCCCTTAGGGGTAAAGCGCAAGGCGCCATCTGTCGTCGACATGCTGACGAAGAAAGAGAGAAAAAAGTGAAGTTTGCACAACTGGCAGCACGTAATTGAGTTTTTGTGTAATCTATGACTGTTTATTACAACACAAATTAAGTGAATACACAGGTTTTGGTGTCCTTCCATTGCTGATGCTCTATTTGGACTGGAAGTGGTCAGTCAGACAGTCTTGTTTATGTGTTCAGGCAGTCAACTGTATGTTCTTTTTTAATACACCCTTCATAGGTACCGTTTTCTATTTTAAATACTGTTTTTTTCTACTTTTTATATTATTATTATTATTATTATTATTATTATTATTATATTATATCTATTTCAGTGTTTAGAAGTAATGGGTTAAGTCAGACATATACTT